GTGCCTCATATCAAAAACGACAAAAATGAGATGGTTCTTGAACTAGATGAGATCAAACTACAGTGGAGAGAATACTTCCACCGTCTGTTAAATGAAACAAATCCCATCAATGTCAACTTTGAGGCTCCAGCCATCGAAGGTCCGATTCCAGACATCACTGTAGAAGAGGAGCTTACAGATGCTCTGAAAGCTATGAAGGATGGAAAGGCAGCAGGGCCCTCTGGACTCACAAATGACATTGTCGAAGCATCTGGTACATTAAGAGAAAATTAACGTCGTGCATCACAATCGAAAATTATCAATTTGATATCCTAGCGGGGAAATCAACAATTGATGCGATTCACATCTTTCGGCAACTGCAAGAGAAGTACCTCGCAAAGCATCAACAACTATCACACATTTTTGTAGACCTTGGAAAAGCATTTGATCGAGTTCCCCGTGAAGCAATCAGGTGGAGTCTACGTCGACAACTCATTCCTGAATATCTTGTTCGACTTGTGATGGATATGTATACGAATACTAAGACTTTCGTAAGCACAACGGTTGGAAACACAGATGAATTTGACATCGGCGTTAGAGTTGACAAAGGCTAGATTCTCAGTCCACTGTTATTTATAACTGTGATGGAAGAAATCACAAAACCGATACGCACTGGTGACATTAGGAATCTAATATATGCTGATAATATCGTTTTAACAGCCACTTCTGAGCAGAATGCAGCACAGATGTTTGAAGATTGGAACACCAGACTCGCCGATCATGGATTCAAAGTCAACATCAGCAAAACCAAAGCAATGGACACTGGTGAACCCATCCAATCCACAGCTACTGGACGATGGCCCTGTTCAGTTTGTAAAGCTGGTGTAGGTAACAATTCAATCAAGTGTCAGCAGTGTAATCAGTGGTGTCACAAAAGTTGTTTAAAAATAATTGGTACTTTATCTAAAGTGTCCAATTTTGTTTGTCCTGATTGCATCAATCCACAACAACAAATTCGAAATAGCAATGTTTTTGAAGCCATTAAGGTAGAGAAAGTCACATCGTTTCAATATCTAGGGGATGTTCTGGATTGTACTGGAACAGCTGAAGCTGCTGTTCGAGCACGCATACGTGCAGCCTGGAATAAATGGCATCTCCTTGCCTCTATATTGATGCGGCGTGACATCCTACTACCGCTACGATCAAGACTATAAATCTCTGATACGTCAGGTGTTGTTATTTGGTGCAGAAACATGGTAAATGACAACCAAACTGGAACAACAACTTCTACGAACCGACATGAAAATGCTCCGATGGATTCAACGAATTAGTCTGAATGACCGCATCAAACCTACCGAAATCCTGCGTCATGCTGGTTTAGATGATATAAAAAACGAATGCCGGCAACACCGTCTGCGGTGGTTTAGTCATGTCAAACGAAGTGGAAACAGTGCCATAACTTTTCTTGCAGATGTTGAAGTACCTGGCACACGCCCCAAAGGCCGTCCAAAGAAGTCCTGGTCGCAAACAATCGAGCAAGACATGAAAGCTCTAAATTTAAATGAAATGGATACAACTGATCGTCTAATTTGGTGCAAATGTTGATGGCAAAAAAAACAACGTCCTACCTCGGGAAACTGGGTCTCTAGACTCTAAACGAAGATTGATTGATTGAATCTGTAGTTCGTACATGGCCTCGCGGGCCGCATAAAATGGGTTGGCGGGCCGTAGTTTGCCCGCCCTTGGGTTATCACTTTGTTCTCGTTTAATGGCGATTTTAATAATGTGTCAAGCTTACTTTTTGTTTTTGTTTACATTATTCAAATGCAAACCCAATCTTCTTAAAGAAAATCGCGACAGTTACATGAAAATTTTCCTATATATATATAATCGAATTCTTTTATTTAAAGCATCAGTATTATGTATGACATAATAATTAATAATTAATCTTTTTTAAAATTTGTTGCTGAAAATTCATTGCCGGAGATTCGCTGTTAACGTTGCCATCGTAGACATAAAGCCACCAACCAAATTATCCCCAGGCAAAAAATTATCATGGACTGATCTTGTATAACTTTTTTTGTGGATGGTAATTTCATAAAATTTATAGGATTGATAATTTTCTGATTATCTGATTAGTAATCTTATGTCTAAAGTTTTTCTTTTATTTTTTTTCTAATGGCCTTTATTTTTATTTTTTCCTTATCGATTTTTTTTGCTAGATTTAGTAGTGAACGCGATTTTACGTTCGGTTGAAGGATTGGACCGAGCAGTTCTATGTTATCAAGTCGGTATCATATTTTCTCACATATCAGATAGAGTATCTATTAAAAAATAGAAATATATTTAATTTTTGATTATGTTAAGATTAATTTATTTTAATATTTGGGCATTTTTTATGTAAGTATTCTTATTTCGACTGATAGATTTGTCATATTTTGTGATTTAATGATAAATATTTTTTGTCATTTAAATTGACGGTACGGTCCAATTTTTCGTTAACCGTCAACTTTATGATTTATCGCATAAAATTTTTAAACCGAGTTTTTAGATAGCAAATAATTTTTTCATCTAAGAATAGTATTTATTTTTTATATATGTTTATATATTATGTGAGTCCACAACATTGCGCATAGTCATAATTATTTTTGCTGACATGGGCGTTATCGATGTATTGAAAATTACCAATGTATACCAATATCACCAGTATTAACAATACCGACATCGAATATGAAACTATTCACCGATATCCATCATCGGTATTTAATCATCTACCGAACAAAAAATAACCTTTGTACTGATAATTTACCGATGCACCGTTAATTTACTGATTAATAAGTTACCGATAATTTACCGGCAACAAATATTTACATCGTTTATAGCTATTAACGGTAAAAATATTTTGCACTAGTGGTGGATCTAGAGGGGGCACTGACGTTTTTAATAAAAGTCAGTAAAGAGACCGTTTTATGTGTAAAATCGACCAAAAATTTAACGTGATAAGCAGAAAAAAGGTCGTCAGCCACACTGCCACAAATCTTGCCCCCACCCATGAAAATTTATACATTTTCTAAATTTTTACCCCGTCCCCATCAAAGTTTTCTAGATCTGCCACTGTTATGCACAATACTTAAACGAACAGCCATCAATTATCTAGCAGTTAAGTTCATATTGCTTGTACTACGTACGCTCAACATGAAAACTGCATTGACCCTCCGGAAGATTACCAATATCCGTGTTGTGTTTAGTCAGACGATTGGCAGTTTAATCGAGCCAGATTTTTACCGGTAATTGAGAGCAGGGAAATCTTTTTATGGTTATCACAACACGAACGATCATCTTTTCCTTTAAGCAAGTGAACTTCGAGTGCATCTTTAAAATGCTAATGCTTTCCCACATCTGACCAAACTGTGCCACCATCTTGGCGTTAGTGTAGTCATGCCAACTGGAGGCCCACCGTATTTGAACAGCTCAGCTGGAAGACCATCCAGACCTGTCGCCTTTTAAGAAGCCACCTGTAAAATGGCATTCTCCACCTCAGACAAACTGGGAAGAACATCAAGGTTGTTTGTCACATCCCAATCAGGCTGAACTCAGCAAGCACTGTATCGTCAAAGGAGGTCTTCTGGTTGTTGTTGTTGTTGTAAACCTCTGAAGTGCTCAGCCTAGCGAGCCAGGATATCAGGACTATCTCTGATGTGTGTTTGACCGTCATGTGAGCGCATCTACAGGATGGAGCAATTAAACAACATTATCAACAACAGCATGGCATCACTTTAACACGACAGATGTTAAATAACAGGCAAATGGTTTATTGCAATAGCAGCATCACAAACCTGAAAATAGCTGAATCAATTTTCATACAAAACAAAAATCCCTCCATGAACATTCAAGTACAGTCTAACAACATTCTACCTTCAAATAGAATACAAATAGAATAGAATAAATAAAAACAACAATCATTATAATTATAACAACAAAAATTACGACAACAGCAATAATTATAACAATGTTATCACCAACAATATTGATGATGTAAACAACAATCATACCAATAGTGACAACTTTAACAATAACATCAACAACACCAGCAACAACATCAACAATAACAACAACAGTGCCAACACTGTAGATACCAATGCTACAATCCACAGCGCAAGTATCAGTTGCAATTGGAACATCATCAATAGTGACAACCTTAACAACAACATCAACAACACCAACAACAACAGCATCAACAACAACAACAGTGCCAACACTGTAGATACCAACGCCACAACCCACAGCGCAAATATCACTTGCAAATGGAACATCATCACAAGAAGCAAGAAGAACCACAGCGATGATAATAATAATAATAACGTTAACAATAATAATAATAATAATAATAACGTTTTTAAATATTGTCAAAATAATATTAATAATATGTAGTTAATTAAATAAATTAATTCGCGCTTCTCGGCTGAGCGTTGATATTTACCTTAACAACCATAATATAAACAATCTTGCCGTTAAAATTTTTAAAAATCGCGTTTTATATTGTTTATAGTTAGTAAATTTATTTTATTGGTTTTCTGTTTTAATTAAATAATTTATATAAATTAATAATTACTTGTTCCTTTATATCAAATATCTTACATACCTTATATATAATGCACTGAAG